AAAGAACTAGGACTATTGTTTAATTTTTTTTTATGGTGTTCACAACCGTAAAAAAAGAACTTGGATAAATATGTTGATTGTGTATTGTGTCTATTACTCCAAAACTTGGTGCCATACAAATAGTCACCCATTTTACACTTCATTGACATGTTTTTTGAAGTAAGTGGGTTGAATCCTTGCTACCACGATCCACTAAGATTTAGCCCTATGTCATCTCGATTCGTCCTTCCCCTAAGCCTATTCCCTAAAAACACCTATATTTTGGAAAACAGGGTTAGCGGTTATGCTAAAAAATGCTAAGTACAGGATTAAGATAAGTCACAAAGCCTAAGTGTTGAGATGTTGGATGGTGCAAGGAGGTGTGTGGCATGTCACAGGACATGTGCACCCAAGGATAAGACATACTTGGAGATATTTTTGTCATTTGAGGGTATGTCGACTTTGCCTTAGACATGATGATTAAGGATGAATGAGATGGTTTCGGGTACTATTTATGACTCCTAAGACTCTTTCGGAACATATGGAAATACCTTGATGAATAATCTTGTTGGGTGTAAAAATGATATACGGTAGCCAAATATGAAGGCTATAATACACGAAATCACAACAATTTAGGAGGTGTTGGGACCTGGTGTCGGAAATTCACGGAACACTACGGGATGCATTTCGGGGTTATATAATATTGTTTTGACCCATATATGACCATTATCGGCTGTGTAAAGGACTTGTGAAAGCTTATAGCCAATACAAGAGGCGTGTACGAAAACATTTAAATTGGATGTTTAAAGGCATATTGGATGGTTCCACCCACCCAATTGGACTCCCAGAGGGTATAAGGTTTCATGGTAAACATCTCGACAATTTTTATTTCCGGGCAAAAAAAAGTCAAATATTTACAAAATTGAACGCTATTATCCACGCTTTTTGAGCAATTTTGGAGGTTTCGGGACCCAATGTCGAAAAGTCTTGAGATTATACGGGATACATCCCGGGGTCATAAAATACCGTTAGGAACCATATATGATCATTATATGTTGATGTAAATGTCGTGGTAGGCTTGAGTTTATAAAATCGGTTCAAGTTATCAACGGGTAAATTGACCGTTTAAAGACACATTGGGTGCTTCCACCCACTCAATTAGACTCTCGGATGGTATTAGGGTCCATGATAAAGCTCTTGGAAATTTTTATTTTGGGTCAAAAAAAAAATCCAAATTTCAAAAACTTAAGGTTATTATCCACGCTTTTTGAGCAATTTTGTAGGTTTCGGAACCTGGTGTCGAAAAGTTTTGAGATTATAGGTGATACATCCCAGGATCATATAATGCCGTTTGGAACCATATATGATCATTATATGTTGTTGTAAATGTCCGTGGTAGGCTTGAATTTATGAAATCAGTTCAAGTTGTAAACGGGTAAATGGACCATTTAAAGGCACATTGGGTGCTTCCACCCATCCAATTAGACTCTCGGAGGGTATTAGGGTCCATGATAAAGATCTTGGAAATTTTTATTTTGGGCAAAAAAAATCAAAAATTTCCAAAATTGAAGGTTATTATCCACGCTTTTTGAGCAATTTTGAAGGTTTCGGAACCTGGTGTCGAAAAGTCTTAAGATTATATGGGATACACCAGGGTCATATAATGTCATTTGGAACCACATATGATCATTATATATTGTTGTAAATGTCCGTGGTAGGCTTGAATTTATGAAATCGGTTCAATATGTAAACGGGTAAATTGACCGTTTAAAGGCACATTGGGTGCTTCCACCCATCCAATTAGACTCTCGGAGAGTATTAAGGTCCATGATAAAGATCTCGGTAATTTTTATTTTTGGCCAAAAAAAAGTCAAAAATTTTCAAAACTCTAGGTTATTATCCACGCTTTTTGAGCAATTTTTGAGTTTTCGGGACTCGGTGTCGAAAAGTCTTGAGATTATACGGGATACATCTCGGGGTCATAAAATACCGTTTGGAACCATATATGATCATTATATATTGATGTAAATGTCCGTGGTAAGCTTGAGTTTATAAAATCGGATCAAGTTGTAAACGGGTAAATTGACCGTTTAAAGACACATTGGGTGCTTCCACCCACCCAATTAGACTCTCAGAGGGTATTAGGGTCCATGATAAAGCTGTTGGCAAATTTTATTTTGGGTAAAAAAAAAATCAAAAATTTCCAAAACTTAAGGTTATTATCCATGCTTTTTGAGACATTTTGTAGGTTTTGGGATTGGTGTCGAAAAGTTTTGATATTCTAGGGGATACATCCCAGGATCATATAATATCGTTTGGAACCATATATGATCATTATATGTTGTTGCAAATGTCTGTGGTAGGCTTGAATTTATGAAATCGGTTCAAGTTGTAAATGGGTAAATTGACCGTTTAAAGACACATTGGGTGCTTCCACCCATCCAATTAGAATCTCAGAGGGTATTAGGGTCCGTGATAAAGATCTCGGCAATTTTTATTTTGGGCAAAAAAAAAAAGTCAAAAATTTTCAAAACTAAAGGTTATTATCCATGCTTTTTGAGCAATTTTGAAAGTTTCGGAACCTGGTGTCGAAAAGTCTTGAGATTATATGGGATACACCAGGGTCATATAATGTCGTTTGGAACCATATATGATCATTATGTGTTGTTGTAAATGTCCGTGGTAGGCTTGAATTTATGAAATCGGTTCAATATGTAAACGGGTAAATTGACCGTTTAAAGGCACATTGGGTGCTTCCACCCATCCAATTAGACTCTCGGAGAGTATTAGGGTCCATAATAAAGATCTCGACAATTTTTATTTTGGGCCAAAAAAAAAAGTCAAAAATTTTCAAAACTCAAGGTTTATCCACGCTTTTTGAGCAATTTTTGAGGTTTCGGGACCCGAAGTCGAAAAATCTTGAGATTATACGGGATACATCTCGGGGTCATAAAATACCGTTTGGAAACGTATATGATCATTATATGTTGATGTAAATGTCCGTGGTAAGCTTGAGTTTATATATTCTAGGGGATACATCCCAGGATCATATAATGTCGTTTGGAACCATATATGATCATTATATGTTGTTGTAAATGTCAGTGGTAGGCTTGAATTTATGAAATCGGTTCAAGTTGTAAACGGGTAAATTGACCATTTAAAGGCACATTGGGTGCTTCCACCCATCCAATTAGACTCTCAGAGGGTATTAGGGTCCGTGATAAAGATCTCGGCAATTTTTATTTTGAGCAAAAAAAAGTCAAAATTTTTCAAAACTAAAGGTTATTATCCACGTTTTTTGAGCAATTTTGGAGGTTTCGAGACCCGGTGTCGAAAAGTGTTGAGATTATACGGGATCCATCCCGCGGTCATAAAATACCGTTTGGAACCATATATGATCATTATATATTGTTGTAAATATTCGTGGTAGGTTTGAGTTTTTAAAATCGATTCAGATTGTAAACGGCTATATTGATCGTTTAAAGGCACATTGGGTGCTTCTACCCACCCAATTAGACTCTCGAAGGGTATTAGGGTCCATGATAAAGTTCGTGGCAGTTTTTATTTTGGGTAAAAAAAAATCAAAAATTTCCAAAACTAAAGGTTATTATCCACGCTTTTTGAGCAATTTTGGAGGTTTCGAAACCTGATATCAAAAGTCTTGAAATATAAGGGGATACATCTCAGGGTCATATAATGCCGTTTGGAACTATATATGACCATTATATGTTGTCATAAATGTCTGTGGTAAACTTGAGTTTATGAAATTGGTGCAAGTTGTAAATGGGTAAATTGACCGTTTAATGACATATTGGATGGTTTTAACCACCCAAATGCATTCCCGGGGTGTAATAGGTTCCATGGTAACCATCTCGACAATTTTTTATTTTCGGTTCGAAAAAAGTGAAAAATTATCCAAAATTAAAGGTTATACACGATTTTTGGTCAAGTTTTGACTCTATTTTAAAATTCAGGAAATGTAATGATGTCATATAAGTATAATGATGTGATATGACTTAATTATAACGATACTATATAACTATAATGATGTCGTAAAAGTTTAATAAAGTGATGTGGGTTGACTATAATGATGTCATATGAATCTAAAGATGTCATATAAGTATAATGATGTCATATTATGTAAATATATTTGTAGTGATGTGATGTCATATCATAATATGATGTGACTTGACAATAATGATGTAATAAAAGTATAATTATATTATATAAGTGATGTCATAAATAAAATGATGTTATATAAACATATTTATTTATTTATTTATTTATTTTGTGGAAAACATAATATTGATTTGATTTGACAATAGTTATGGAAAAGAACATATGTTATACTTCATATGATGTAACTATTGATTAAGATATTGTTATTCACATGTGTATTGATTGATATGATATGTTATAAGTACATATAAGCATTAGCCGATGAGTAAGAAAATAGATTTAATTGGCCCAAAATTAACTTGAAACCAATCTGAAAAATCTAGGTTTTGAATACAAAATAAAGACCGCACAATTACCAAATCTAATTAATTATTTATTTATTGATAAATAAAAAATTAATCCTTGCAAAAAAATTTATTTTGAGTTTGAAATATAACGCTCATGTAGCGCCTGTTCTGATTTACTGAGCTTAACTGAATTAAACTAAAATGTTTATTAGCGAACAAAATTAAAAAACTGAACTGAAATTAAGTTGAAGAGAACATACCCGTAATATCTAAAATCGAAAATTATCCGTCAAAGAAATTACCTAGCAATCCTATAAACCGTCTAACCAAGGTGTCAATGCTAGATTGTATCAAACTAATGGCGTCATTCACCATGTTCTTCAGCAAGCCAGTAGTTCCTTTCTCTCTCCTAAAACCTCCAAAACCAAAACTCATACTCCATAATTCAACTCTCTCGTCCTCTAAACTTCATTCTTATAACTCTCCTTCATCCTACAATGTTAATTTCTTATCTACTAATACCAAATCAAGAGCATCTTTAAGAATAAACTCGCAATTGAATTTCAGTTACCCAATTATTTCACCAAACGACCACTGGGGTTTATGGTCTGTTCTTCTATCCACTGGAGCTTTCAGTTTCTGGTAATTTTAATCGCTTTTACAATCAATTTTTGTTGATTTTATTTTATATTATTTTTCTTTGGAATTTACATAAATTATTGCATTGCTTTCTAATGGGTGATTTCTGTTGACCTATATTTATTAATTAATAATTACACAAGTTGAACATCGTAATAAGAAAGATATAAAAAGTAAGCAAAGTATGGAAAAAAGTATCATTCTTGGCGGAAAAAAAAAAATAGTAACTTGAAGTATGTGTTTAGCTTAATTTTTAATGTTAATTTGTATTACTCCCTCCGTCCTTTAATTAGATTTATACTTCTGTTATTATACGAGGAATAAATGATAGAAGTAGGAATCTAATTAAGGGACTGAGGGAGTAGTAAAGTATAGGTAATATTCATAATAATGAGGTCAAAGGTCAAGTTTTGCCATTTAGAAGCATGTGAGAGTTATTCACAAGTGAGGTCGGCTATATTCATAATAATGAGCTCAAAGGTCGAGTTTTGCCGTGTTTATTATATGAGGAATAAATGATAGAAGAGGAATCTAACTAAGGGATAAAGGGAGTAGTAAAGTATAGGTAATACTCATATTAATGAGGTCAAAGGTTGAGTTTTTGCCGTGTTTAGAATCAATCAATTCCATAAGTGAGGTCAGTTATATGAACCATGAACCAAAAGGGATTATTTAGATAGTTATTCACGGAAATCTTCCACCTCCATTTCTTACGATCAAATACCTCATTCTCACGTAAATCCATATACTTCATATTCTTCCTAACTCTTTCCAACCTAGTCATTTTTGATCTCCCTCTACCTCGTTAAACCTCTCCATGATCCCACTCTTTTACTCTTACTTGAATTGAAAAAACATCTAAAATTTCCTGTTTTAGCATTATCAGGTGTGATATCTGTGCTGAAAAACTTAAAGAATTGGCCTATTTTAAATTGTGTCATGAGTTGACTGTGTTACTTTCAATTTTGGTATATTTTAGTGGAGTATTAGACTGTTCCAATTCTTCTTTATCAATCTATGCATCTTCGCTTTTGATTTGAAACGAAGATAAACTTAACTCGAACTTACTCTATTCAGATTCTGCGGAAATTGGATGTATGGAGTATGGACATAACTTTGATACTTATATTCTCTATGAAGTTAAAAAGAAATCAATCAATCAATCAAAGCCTTAATCTTATAAGCGGAGATAGAAACAAATATGCCACTGTCTCCTGTGGTTTCCTTTCTTGATTATGAAGTCGATAAAAGGATATGTAGTTGAATGGTGGGATTGGAGATGGGTCATAAATCATAACATATTTTGGGTTGTTTTTATCAAACTTCAGTTTGCTATGTATGACATTGTTGGTAAGACATACTTATTTTCTTTTCAAAGGAGAAAGGTAATTCTAGATATTATTTCTTGTCTTAATTATATTTCATCTGCTATCATATGGAGGCAAATGAGTATTTTGGGGATTTAAGGTCGGAGAAAACAAAGGTTGGGAGCATGATCAGTTCTGCACTTGTGAGCATTTTGATTGGCCTTGCAGCGAGTAATCTGAGGATCATTCCTTATGAAGCAAAAACATATTCCATTGTGTTGGAATACTTGTTACCCTTGACTGTTCCTTTGCTCTTGTTTAGAGCTAATATGCGTCAGCTTGCGCAGTCAACTGGGAAGTTACTTTTGGCATTCTTGCTTGGATCAGGTGGTGCTATTTTGCAAGTATATATATTTAAAATTCTATTGTGTATTGAAGAGAAATCAATTATATGCGCTTCCTGGGAATTTCAGATTATAAATGGTGTATTTGATGAGTAGTGGTTATGTTTGTTTCAGTTAAGAGGTGTGTATATCCCTACCTTATAAAAAGTAGAAAACTACTCTTATGAATAGTGTAATGCCAATTATACCCTTCAAAATGTGTATTTACATACATACCCTCATTAATATGTACAAGCTACTTTTAATGATTAGTGTTTAGACAACTATACCCTCTAAAATATTTATTTATTTTTATGCTTTCATTATGTTAATTATCTTGAACATTTATACTACCCACATAGTTGTTTATATATTTTCTCTTATAGTTAATTTAACTAAATTTGTGATTTAAAAGCCAAACCGAAGAAAACCTTCTAGATATGACTAGCTATGACGCGCGCATCGCGCGCGTTTGCTGCCCTAGTATTCATAAAAATACTTGATGAGTAATAGTTACTTTGTTTGAAATTTTAAACTTGGACATAATGGACCCTTAAATCGTCTTAATGGATCACAAAATCGCAACTGTAGTTTCTTGTCTTATTGAAGCTATTTGAACCTGTCTTCAAAAAATTTAGAGGGATGGTTAATTTCTGTTATGAGTTGCTGAATAATACATCTAAACAGAACTAAAGGGCTCTAGGGATTTTACTGCTTTGTGTTGTGTTATTTTTAGTCAATGAGCATTCCATTAATATTCCTAAGTTCTCATCTCCTGAATGCTTTCTTCACCTTCTTATTCCAGTGGCTACAGTGATTGGGACAGTGGTTGCATTTTTTATAGTTCCCATGCGATCGCTTGGTGCTGATGGTTGGAAAATTGCTACTGCACTCATGGGCAGTTACATTGGTGGATGTAAGTAATGTGAAACAATAATTGCAAGCTTGTTTTGCTTCACATTTTTACATAAAACTTTAGGTTTAGTCCCATTGATGTAGTTCACTAACTTTTAAGCTTCATGAATAATTTCTACATTATTTTATTTATCTGATTCACTCCTAAATCTCTATGCTCCTCTACAATTCACTGATGTCAGTTGAAGGTAGGTTTACCGTTCAAAGCAGCCAGTTTTTTTTAGGAAAGTATTATTCTTTGCAAAGAATATGGCATTTGATGCCAGTTTGTGATCATTATCTTGTTGTAGCCCCATGGACCAGAAGTGATTGCATCTGTTGCTGAGTTCTCTTGATGGATACTTCATGTTTGTAGGCTCTAACGTAGAAAATGAGATGAATGGCTTCTGTTCTCCTCTTTGCAGTAATACTTCATTTTAAGATGATCTTTTTACAAGAATTTGGAACTGGTCTTCTGAAATTATTTATATGATTACTAGATATTTATTGGAACCCCCCCCCCCACCCTCTTCCTTAATAACACATCATACAAATTAATAAGTACGCTTTTCTAAGTAGCTAATGATGTTGAAGGGGGAGCTTTTAATTTTTGGGCAATAACACTTTTGCTGCTGTGGAAATGTCAAAACAAGTTTCTATCATCAGTTAGTGATGATTTTAATGCAATTTATGTTGCAGCTGTCAATTACATTGCAATTTCAGAGATTCTTGGCACTTCCCCATCAAATGTGGCTGCTGGAGTAGCTGCAGACAATGTCATTTGTGCTGTTTACTTTATGGTGTTATTTGCAATAGCGTCCAGAATACCTCCTGAAGTCTCAAAATCTGCCACAGGTATGTTTATATCTGTTATAGAGTAGTAATTATTTAATTTCTATGTTTACATCTAATAGAAACTGACTTTCGCTGAATAGATGTTGCAGTTACTTCAGAGAGTAAAACTGAGATTAAGTTCCATACACTACCTACTGCCACTTCTATTGCTGTATCCTTTGCTATATGCAGCTGTGCTGCCTATATCACAAAGTTATCTGGAATCCAAGGAGGCATTATTCCAATAGCTACAGCAATTGTGGTGATTCTAGCTACTGTCTGCCCCCCAATATTTAGCTACCTTGCACCTTCCGCAGAGGTTATATCTTCAATTTCGATGCAGGTAAAAAAAAATTATATATTCTTCTTCTTGTTCATATGACTCCATGTCTTATTTGACCATGTGCCATTTTCATAGTAAAATATGTCTTTCGAAGCTACTCTATATTAATTTATAGATTCTCAGTTATTATCCACATTGCTTCCCATATTGGATTTGTTTTGATTACAGAAAAACTTGGAATTTTATTAGTGGTGCTTGCAGATATTTATTTGACATTTCAGAATTGACTTAATTTTTTATGCAATAATAGGTTTTCTTCGTTGTGATTGGTGCAAGTGGCAATGTCTGGAGTGTTATCAACACCGCGCCAAGTATTTTCTTGTTTGCATTTGTACAAGTTATGGTCCATCTGTTCATCATTCTAGGTTTAGGGAAGATATTTAACTTTGATCTTAAGTTGTTGCTTTTGGCTTCCAATGCTAACATTGGAGGCCCTACTACAGCTTCAGGAATGGCCACATCCAAAGGGTGGAAATCTTTGATCATTCCTGGGATTCTTATTGGCATTTTTGGCATAGCTATCGCAACTTTTGTTGCTATTGGTGTTGGAGTAACAGTCCTTAAGCACATGTAACTTAACAAACACACATAATGCTTGAATGGTAGATTGTTTCTGAGTATAATTCTGTTGAATATCCTTCATAAGCTATGGAATCTGAATTATTTGATTTTGACAAAGAGACCTCCTCCCCTCCTAATATCCTTCATAAGATATGGAATCTGAATTATTTAATTTTATCTACATTTATTTCACTACAGCTTGTTGGATTGAGTAGCAAACTAGCAACCCTGAAATCTGTGGGTTTTGTTTGTCCACAATAAGCTATCTTCCATTTTCCATGGTAGAAGGTGAACTCTTATCTTCATTCTTGTCATTTATTTTTCATAATATATACTTTTATTTTATAATACTTGCAAGTTGCAACCATGCTTATTGACATGTAATTTAAGAGAGGGTAAACACACATTTTAAAACTAAATAACTTACACAGTAGTAAAAGGGTGGGTTGGGTTAAAGGTTTTTTTTTTTTAATAATTTGTCCATTTACCCTCTCTTTTTTCTTAAATTTGCGTGTCAAGGAGCTTTAATGTACGTATTTTGAAACGAAGAGGCTATATATTCTGGTAATTTATTTTGTTCTTAAGGATTTGAATTTCATGGCTTGAATAATGTTGTTTCTTCTAAAATGATGATTGATAATATTTGCTACAGGGGCTGTGAAGTTTCTGAAGAAAATGAGTAGTCACTAAGAAACTATTCATGGAAGGATTGATCAAAGTAGGAAGTCTGATCCTGAGTATGATCTAATTATTGCTTTAAATGCAACTTATATGATCTATGGATTATTTTCAGAAAAGGCACCTTAAGAATATTTACGATTGATAGGGAGATGCGTTACACATAGAACATAAATGATGTTATAATTCTTTGATGGTGATGCTAACTTGATAATTGGGTTTCTGTTTCTTGTCACTTATGACGGGATGGTTTTCCGAGCTTTTTTTTTTATGATAATATTTTATTAGTTATTCACTTATTTCGAATGATTTTATAGATGTAAGGTTTTTTGTTTTATGGCTTTAGGTGTTTTGACTTTGGTTTATATGTGACTTAGTAATATATTACTACGTATGATGTACAATTTGTCACTAATTAATGTAAATTTCATTAAAGTCTTTCCTTGTAGACAATAACTAAAAAGACCTCAAAATTTTGAAGCCTAGAACAATTTTAAAAATTAAAAAGTTATTATCAAACTATAATTCTTAATTATTTTTACTCTGAAGGGGCCATATTCTGAGTCAATCTCTTTGTATATTTATATAATTATATATATGAGGCTTAATAAGTCAAAGTTTTAGTACTAGTAGTACATGTCCCTAATGATAGAACTTGGATATGTGAATCAATGAAAGATAGTAGGTCATTTTCTCATGAAATTATTTTTTAAGCTATCCAGGATTGCTCTGTATATGTGTAGTACTACTTTATAGTACAGAAGTATTTGAGAACTCGCAAGTCAACTGTACTAACATCCAATGGAAGTTATATTTGAGGGTTCCTAGAATCATTCTCTTATGATATGTAGTATTAATTTATTCAACTATATAGATTAATCTTCTTTTTTTAAAAAAATATCTCCAACATGCAAGATGTCAAAGTACGGTAATTCTATTATATTTGGACTCTTTGTCTGATTGTTATACTTCAACTTAATGTTGTCAAGGTTTTAAGCACTTTACTATTTACCACAAAGTAGCTGTCTCTAACCCTAGGACATGTACTCGACTACTTGTGCCACACACATGTATTTATGTACTTGAGTCTATATTAACATTGGGTGGACTTCATTAACCTGGGGCTGTAAAACATATAGTCCACTATAATTTGAAAAGCCTGCATTGAAGTCCACTCATTTTTGACATAGCAAATATGTCATATTTTTAATGTGTGTTTGAAGAACTGTGTCTTTATTTGATTATTTAACATTGAAATTGGAAATTTTTGTATATTTTATATGATAGGAGTCACAAACTGCAAGAGTCATGCCTTTCTGGTTAAGCATCATAAACTGCAAGATTTTCTGATGATGTAACAACAAAGCTGATTTACATTAATTTTGCTTCTATATATACGTCTTGTAAGAAACTATTTCCATAAAAAAAAAAGAAAAGAATTGTATATTGTATAAAGAATATACTACTGAAATCAACAATAATTTTGTGAATTATTTTTAAGAAATTAAAGCAGAAAAAGATCAATGAGCAGCCTTGCATTGCTGAAGCTAACATGTGTGCTGGTTTTTCTTGGATGGATGGTAGTATGGATTGTATTACCTTTGGAAGTTTTCAAGTATAATTGGCTTCCCAAACTAGCAGAATCCTTCAATCCAACATACATTGGAGAGCAAGGTATAAAACCAAGCTTTTTTTTTTTTTTTATTGATGTTGTACTTTGTGTGTGTCTATGGTTAGAATCAATTTAATAATTAACCTCATTATTTGCAGGAGTAAACCTTTTCTTCCTTACATTTCCTGTGATGTTGATCGCGGTTCTCGGCTGCTTTTACCTTCATCTGAAGGATAAAAGAGAATCTTCCTTGGAAAGGTTTATTCATTTCTTACATTGCATGTTTAAATATAGTGTTATACTGCTACGTACATTGTACCAACATTTTCGATATTCATTATTAATTTGTGACAGAATTGCTCTTGGGTATGGCCTTGTTTGATTTTGGGTTGTTTGCCTACAATTAGCTTGTTGGCCTTTTCATATTGATCAAACATCTAACAATTATTTTTGTATATGGCTTAAATTAAATTTGATCGGAGCAGTTTTTGTTTTTTTTTTTGGTTTTTGGTTGTTTTATAATAAAGTTGATGATTTTGTCTATCAAAGAGCTAACAAAATCAATCATCTTTGTACATAGTAATTCATCACCTCAGACGCATCTGGCAATGTTGAGACGTCCTCTTCTTGTTATAGGGCCTCTAGGGGTGGTTACAGCAATGGAACTCGTGTTTTTGGTTATGGGGATTGCGCTTGTGTGCTGGCATTTTGGCCATTATTATTATGTCAGTGTTAAGCATCCATTCATGGGGCATGGCAGAGAGCATCAAAAAAAGTACGTGTGAAACTTACTATTTTCGTGCTAATTCTATTACGTACTACTGTGCTACTACTAACACCGAAGAATTGTGTTATTTTTTTTCTTTTCTTTCTTTTGTTCGATTTTCAGGTGGCAAATTACTTTACGGACTGTGTCACTAAGACTTGGTTATGCCTCAAACATATCCTGGGCCTTTGTGTTCTTCCCTGTAATTCGATTGTCGTCACTTTTGCCTTTGGTTGGTCTCACATCTGAGTCTAGCATCAAGTATCATATATGGATTGGGCAAGTAGTCATGATAACTTCAGCGTTACACAGTGCTGGTTTTTTCATCTACTGGGCTATAGTTAGCCAATTGTATCTAGTAAGTTCATTTCAAAGCTTAATTTAAACAAAAATTTACACAGAGGCCACTTATTTCAAATCTACTTAAAGCTAATTAGTTCTGACAAGGGAAATTCAGATGAAAAGAATGAAGCCAAACTAACCCGCCTATATTATTAAGGCATATTATTGTGGTAATTGGTGCTAACAAGGGTTTTCGGTTATGTAGGCACTTGAATGGAGCAAAACTCATGTGTCAAATATAGCAGGAGAGATATCTTGGGTTTTCTTGATAGCAATGTGGATAACAAGCTTTGCATACACCAGAAGAAAGTCATTCGAAGTTTTCTTTTACACTCACCAACTTTACGCCCTAGCCACTTTTTTCTACATCGTGCACATAGGAGCTGCCTGGACGATGCAACTCCTTCCTGGAGTTTACCTCTTCACACTTGATCGATACCTAAGGTTCTTACAGTCACGCTCTCGTGCAAGGTTAACCTCAGTTCGCGTTCTTCCGGGTGGGACTGTGGAGATGACATTTGCCAAGAGTCGAGGTGATTGTCGAACTTTAACATTTGTCTACAATTGATTTTTAATAATGCACCGGTAGTGATTTCTACACTATTAGATTGGTTTTGGCCTCACACTTCCGTCTGACTTATATAAATAGGTTATACTCTCACAATGAAAGTGTCAAAATCAAATTTTGGAGTGGGATCGGAAAATTAATTCTCATTTGTCGGAATTGTTACTGTATACTATTTTTTTAGTTAAAGAGAACATGCAATGATCTTTTATTGACTAGTAAAAGCTGTAAATGACAATCAAAATACTAAAAAAGGATGGTCATTGTAGAACTTATAAGTATTTCTTTCTTAGGTAGAAACAAAAACTTTAGCGTGATTGTCGAGATTAGAAAAGCTTTAAGTTTTCTATTTTACTTGTTTGTTTTACAGGTTTACATTACAACGTCGCAAGTAACTTATTTGTGAGCGTGCCAAAAATTTCCTCGTTACAGTGGCACCCTTTTACTGTGAGCTCAAATGATAACATGGAACCTGATAGGCTAAGTATTGTGTTCAAGACTGGAGGGAGTTGGACAACCAAGCTGTACAAAGAACTGTCATCTTCTTCTCTGGACAGGCTTGAAGTGTCTGTTGAAGGGCCATATGGTCCAGCTTCTACCAGCTTTATCAAGTAAGTAAAGTGGTAAAACTTAGCTCAATTTTGTATGTTCGGAAGTTGCAAATTGATATAGATTCAGCTTCTAGTATGCCCCTAAATATTTCATTGTGTTCGGGCTACCAAAGTTGAGACCTTTTTAGGATGTGTTTTCTTCACCTAAAAACTTTTATGATGATCTAAATGTAGTTATGGAAAGAGCTTGGGTAATCCTTATGCGGAACTTATCTCAGTTTCCAGTATTTTTGTTTTTTTTTTTGTTTTTTTTTTTTTGAAATATTTCATTAGTGAAAATAAGTTGATGAGACACACATTGGCCTAAGACTGATTCTTTATTTTCTTTTGTAATGAGGAAAAGATCAAATTAACTCAATCAAATATAATACTTAGAATTGAGAAGGGATGGTGGATGGTTATATCTTGTACATGCAACATGCCAGCTTAACTATAAAGTTCAATAATCTAAAACTTTTTCCTTCTTCCAGGCATGAAACTTTGGTGTTGATCAGTGGAGGAAGTGGTATGACCCCATATATATCCATAATTCGAGAGATTATACATCAATCAAATACCCAAAAAGGCAAAGTCC